GTATCTGTATCGTTGTAACTTCTGTGTTGTTAGCCAGGCACTGGTGAAAGGTCAATATAATAAAGTAATAAATGTATAATGTTATGAGATTTAAGCTATTTCGTCCAAAGATTTATGTTTCCATGTTCATTCTAGAATGAAAGAGGCATAATTTATATTTATTTCCTAATTTTTTTCTGGTGGCTGTGAGATTGTTCAAATTTACCAAACCCATACAGAGATTAATTACTGAAAATAACAGATAAAATAGTTTTTTCTTAAGAAACGTTTGATAACTATCTGGACATTATAAAGATTTTGCATGTGAAATTTTCCGATGCATAAAAGTATTTTTAATCTTAATATGAAAATTACTTTGCATGATAGACAGGCAAGATGTAAAAAGAAAAAAGGCATCAGTGAAACATTGCTTTAGAAACCTTAAGACTTAATAAAAAATTAGATATTTTGTGTATGAAAGCATTGTAATGTTTACTGATAATCTGCCAAATTTCGTTAACATTTGCTTACTCATTTAAAACTTATAGCATGAAAACTATAACAAGCACAAAATGGTTACCAGGTCAGTCTCAGGGACTGAGCCTGGGTTGAAAGAGTTGGAGACAACATTAGTTGTTTACTGTAATTAAAATATGGTTTATTGGTAGCACAAATTATATAAAATATTGCTCATTACAAAGTAATAGCAAGTTTAGTATTTCATGTAGTTTATCAAAAAATATGACAGAATCTTAACATTCAATGTATTTGAACTAGTAATAGACTTTGCTCATAAGCATTGGAAGAGGTTAATGAAAGATGTTTGCATTGTAAGAAATTTAATATCACTGTGATACTGTTATGTAGGTTACTTATTATGGCACATTTGGAACAGCTCAATACCAGAACACATACACAGTTTGATTCAACAGTAATTAAAAAAAATTGCATTGAAAGAATCCCTTTAATTTACATAGATTACAAAAGGGTAAAGCTAGCTTCTAAGAAATCACTAATTAATAGTATGCTAATTTGGTTAGGTACAGATGGAATATCTAACATTAAACAGTGTATTAAATTTTTTTTAAATCACTTTTTGGAATGCTTAGTGTGTTTTAAGTTTCCTCAAGTGAGGTTAAAGAGTAAGTTTTGAATGAGACAAACAATATTTATTACTTTACATTGAACAAGCTCAAGCCTGAGGAAAAACATGGCTACAAGATTATACCTTTTCAAAAAAACTACCAAAAGATAGTACCATTTGGAACTTAAATATCTCCTAAATCAAGATACATTATTCCAATTCATTATTTTTACTATAATAGTAATAGTTGAACTAATCATTCATACTCCTGCAGATTGTAACAAATTCTAAGACACTGTTTGTCATGCTTTTTTGCTGTGAATTTACAAGCTGGTAAGTATTGTGAAAACCGCCACAGTGGTGTTCTTTGAATTTCCTTGGGATTAATAAAGTATTTCACACACACTGAGTACATGTGTACAAGTCACCTTGGAGAGACAGTAAGAAAATTTTTCTCAGTGTGGCCTCAACATATGTATTTCATGGAAATGTGGCCACCAAGCAAAAAAAGCTGAAATGAATAATGGAACCAAAGAATAGAATAAGCAGGTCTAGTAGAGGGTGTTGTTCACCCAATGCACCCAAGTTTGATTTGCACCTCCTTTAGAGATCTGTATTAGTGTAAATTGATGAGGCAGTAACAGCAAACCTGATACACTGTGGCATTATTCCAAAAACACACCTAATTCATCAATGATTTATATCTTTAAACATGTGGCTAGTATCAAAAGAAGAGGATCTCTTCCCTTGGCCTGCCCATACTTCAGATAATAACATTGCTGATGGAAATTAGGTCTAAACAGATATGAAGAAGGTAACCTAAGCAACCTGATGGAATTGTGAATTTCTTCTGATTGAACACTCCATGCACTTTTAATCAAACTATGGCAGCCTGTTGCCAGGTGTCATGCTCTAAAGAGGAGAAAAGATGTATACAATAGATATTAATGACCTTATAATGCAAAATTTGAATTTTTTTCTTTAACTCGACATTCATTGTTTTACTTTACAGCTTTTTCATGAACATTTCACTGAAGCAGAAACCCTACTTAACAATACAAAGCTTAAATTGGTTTAAATAATGAATTATAATCAATTTTATAGTATGTAAAGCCAACTGTTGAAAATATAACTTAACTACAATGAACCAAATACCTATGAAAATTAATAAAAAATTAAAAAAAAAATGTATAAATAGCAACCTTTGTCTTTGTTCATCTATAGTTTGTTGGGAAGAGCTTTAAATTTCTTATCTGTGAATTTGATAAGGATTTTTACTGAGAATGGTGGATTCATTCTAGGACTTTATTACAAAATGTTCTCCAGTCTCTTCTCTCATGTTGTAGTTTGTAAAAAGTCAAAATATTCTATCATTGTGTGTTGGGTTCTTCCAGTTTCACCAGTGTGCATATGGTGACAGATATGTGTATAATGGTTGATAACACTGGAAGCAAGATCGTAAACTTGATTTTCTAAGACAGTTGGCTTTATTGCATTGTAATGTACCAAGATTTTGCAAGTTTACTTCAATCTGCAGTTCAGGTTTTTTGAAGATAGTTAAAGGTACTGTAAAAGTATTTTATTGTAGTATCTTTGTAGAATTTTCTTTCATTTTTGGTTTATCTGTGTTTATATTGGAGGAGTGATGTTGATTTTTTTTTTAATCATAGTCCTTGAAAAGTTAGGTATTCATTGTTTAAGATGAGTGATTTTAGTTCAGAACATTTAGTTTTTGACAACAGCAATTACAATATTCTTTTTAATTCTTCATTAATTGCACCTTTCTTAAAAGCTTTGGGATAAAAGTTGAAATGAAAAAAATTATTTTAATTTATGAAACAAAGTTATTGTTACTATCAGTCAAAGTAATGTCAATGGAATCTATACTCCTGTTGTGAATTGGATGTTAGTGTTTATGGAATTAAAAAAATCTGGAAACTTGATTAAAGAATCATGGCTACGGTCTCATAGTCCAAACACATCAATGATGTATCTAAGCTAGAGATCATCACTTTTTGAGTGTAATCATTTCAAAAATATGCATGAATATTACTTGATTACCAATTGCAACAGTTTTTCAACAGAAAAATATACATTATGAACTATGAAATGAGTATTGATAGTCAACACATCCCCCAATTGATTAGTGGGACATTCCTGAAGAAGCTTTAAAGTGAAATGTTGAGTGTCCAATTAAAGAAAAATTTGGCTTTATTTATTACTAGTATTAAGATGTATTTTGTGCTCCAGCATGCACTAAAAATTAAATAAGATGCTAATGTAAGCAGCATATTTGTATACTTTCAATGTGGTTCCATCTAATGCTACTCTTATCACCTAATCTAGGCTCAAAATGAACCATATTTTCCACTGTGGTACAAAATGTTTCCATACTTCCATTATTGTAGTTATGCTTCTTCGGTAAACAAAAGCATGGTCAAGTACTGTTGGAAATTTTTAACAATTAAATCCAACTGATTCAAGTACCTATCTTATATTACATTAAACATTCAGTAAAATATTTTTTATAAAGCCTCTTTCCTTGGAAATGTTAATAACTAAATTTTTTTTCAAACTTTAAAATTTTATTTTACAAGAACGAGGTAATCAGCATAACACAAAAATGTAAATTTGTATTTCTATAGTGTTATTTTTTAAAACCTGTTTGGCTACTATAAACCAGACACTTCTGACTGATCACTATGGAAATGGAATAACTGATTAACTAGCTTGGGATACTGAAGGTTAAAATGGTTTGCAACTTTAATCAATTTCTCACTTGGGCTTGAACAGGAAAACAATGCATCATATTCAAGACATTCTGAGTAGATATTTATGGTAATACTATGAAAGAAATAGTCAGGAATTTCACTCTTCCAGATCATTTATTATTTTATAAGATATTCTCACAGACTGATTTCTCAATATTATAAACTTACACTATCCTTTAACACAGGTAAAAGCTGCATACATGTATACGTTTCTGTATGGACAATACAGAAACCTGTAAACTTGCCTGACTTTACTTAAGACTGCTTAGAACATTAGTTGAAGTATGTAATCTTTAGGATGCCCTTTTTTGTTTTGTTAGAGTACTTAAGTTGAGTTCTGACTCTTGATTTTGCTCTTGTTGACCCCAAAATGTCATCAGGAAAATGATATGGAAGAAGACAAGGCAGTTTAGGTGACATAACACTGTTTGTTTGATAAATATTTTTTTTCCCTCTACTATGGGTTTTTGATTTAATAATAATAATAGTCCTGAACTTGAAATTTGTGGAAACTTTTAGCTTTTCTGTTGGACCGCAATGTTAGCTGACAGGCTTAAAACATGAAATAGTATATGCTTAAAGTATAAATACTAAATCAAATATTTAAGTAAGGTAATTTTCTTTTCATAATACACAGGATATCTTGGTTACAAACAGCTTTAAACATTCCTGTTGGTGAGTTTGTTACAAAGGGTCCATAGTCCTAGAAGACATCCTCACTTACATAAATTGTATGTTCCCCAACAGCTGTTTGCAATGAAACATGTTAAGAATTTCACACATTCAATAGATAAAAAACTGTAACATCCATAAGTTAGTTTGTAAGAAGATAATAGTATCCAATAATTTTAGCACCCTTGTTTACTTGCTATCTTACCCTACAGCAACCACTATGTACATATCACCATTACATATCTAACCTTAGTCAAAGAAAAATAAATTTTAACTTGTATCACAAAATTGCCATTTTCTAGTTCTCATTTTGAACACCAGTAATATTCACACTTAACAATAGTTAGAAATTATTTTCAAGTTAAAGAAATGTATATACACGTACGCAAGTAAGTGTGTACTTAGTTATTTGATTGAAATTTTCCTTTGAGATATTTGTCTTTATCACAAAACAATACCAACTGTCAGAACAATATTAGTTTACTTTTGTTTAACAAACCTGGTTTAGTATAAACACTTTTATTGAAAAAATAATAATAATGTCAGTAAGAATGAATTGAATAATATGGTTTAAAAAATTAATTGTCCATGACAGTTTCAAAGTAAACATATCACATTTTTTGTTTTTACACACTAAACTACTGTACTTATCCAATCTATTCATAAACAGTACCTCTTTCATTCCATCACACACAACTTATACTTTATATACATATATCCAAAAACCTGCAAGATTATTAAATTCTCATAAAATAATGTATCAAGTTAATCACACATCAAAATCACTTAGATTTTTAACTAGTTATAGAACCTTGTTCTTCTGTGTCTAGAGATGGCACCACTATAGAAGTTCTTGCTATTCGATGGTAAGGTCAAACAAGAATAAAATAAGTGGGAATAGCCTCAAATCGGGTGAAACGGATCAACTTCGTAAAACAAACTGAAAACTGGGCACAGAAAAAAAAAAGAAAAAAGAGTAAAATATCAATTAATACAGATTCTATTTATTTTGTTACAGTGAAATCTATAATGTTCCTCTTCTGTCAGTTTAAGATAATAGATGTAAAATGCTTTAAAACTTAACCTGGAATGAGCAAAATGTATCTTCAATTTACCACACATCTTTGTAGTTAATATATCATTTATTAATACAGTATAACAGATTCATCTAATCTAGTTAAAATCAGTGGAAAGTATGCACTCATAATGCTTTAAAACTGGATTCTATACCCATGGTGGGAATACCACAGCTAGACCATTGTGTAGCTATGTGGAAATTGTACACAAAAGAAAACTAAGACCATTGATAAGTATTTGGTTAGTAAAAGTTACTGTATATAAATCTCAACACAAAATGTGTCTTGCTTAAATGATCATTTTGCTAAGTAATGGAAATTGTGTACAAAAGAAACTAAGTTAAACGATAACAAAAGGCAGTGAAAGTTATTACGTTTTAAAAAAGATAAAATACCATTAAGTAATGCCAGAAACATAGGACTGACTCTTCATACATTTATTACATAACAATAATAATAATAACTAAAGCCATTTTTAGCCAGGTGGTTAGGGCGCTCGACTCGTAAAACTGAGGGTCGCGGGTTCGAATCCCAGTCACACCAAACATGCCAACCTCCACCTTTGCCTGGTCCCAAGTCCAGGATGAGAAAGGGGGAGGGTTGGGTGCGGGGCTAGCAACTCCACCCAGTAAAAACCAACCTGCTACAAGAAACTGCAACAACAACTTCCGTTGGGGAGTGTTGTTGCGGCCCTATGCTCCACTGGGAGTTTACAGGAAAAAAAAAGCCATTTTTACTCTGTTTTCATATATATTTTGATTTCAGCCAATGTTACCACTAAATGAAGTAAGCGGGGTTTTCACCATTATGTATAAGTATAGTTATGTTCTATTCTTTTCTTTAAAGTTATTCTGTTAACCCTTTCAATACGGGTCACAGGTGAAAGGCCATGTCATCTTGTTTGTTGACTCATTCAAAATTGTACTGAACTACTATTTCAGAATTTATGTCAATAAGTTTGGTATCAAACTGTAGATTACAATTCAAATTTTAGAACTATACATTACTCAATTTGTTAATTTCAAAGTAAATATTAAAAAACACAGATAAACATCGATTTTTGTGTGGCATGTTGAATGCAGCACTGGTTCAAATTAGATGTTTGTTAAGTCAAAGTCTATAGTTTCATACGAATTACAGATATTTATAAGCTAGAATATAAAATAAGAAGGTCTTATCTTTTCAATTTTCTAAGACATTGCTCATGTGATAAACCAAACAGTGGCACCCCACTCACCTCATTCCATTTTTGGAAACATTCCCTTATAAACACTTCTATATATAACATGAATAACCAAATGGAGCTCAGAATGTCCCCTAGCTTAATTTCTTTCTTTTAAATCAAGATTTTAATGAGGTAGGTTGTGTCTTTAGTCTGCTCAAAATTGCGTTTTTTTAGACCCAAATACGGCTTAGTTACTATGTTTGATAAATTATAG